CAACAGAAGATAGATGCACGCAAATGACAACTGCATGTCGTTCAATCTTGTTACAAGAGGAACTACATGTCGTTTTTTCTTAATAAAAATTTTCATGGGATGTTGTTTTCATCCATATATGTCTAATGGTTCAATACTTTACAAGTGAAACGACATGTCCTATTTCACTTACAAGACATCAAACTTTTTTTTTTATTGTTAAATTCAATTTTAGTCCCCTCAATAAGTCAAAAATACGGACTCAAGCCCCCTATCTAATTTTGGTATCCTAAATGGCATATAATCAGTCACATTATGTCACATTATTTAAAAACTTGGAGTGCCTTTTAACTTTCTTTTACATGCTTTTCAATCTGAGTCTATCAAATGATGCTCATAATGTGGTTGATTGAACATCAATTACGATATTAAAATTAGACAGAGAATTAAGATATAAGTCTGTCAAATCTCATTTTAATCACTAAATTGTAAAACGTTTTATAACAAGTCCCCTTCTACAACTACCAAATTGTTTCAAAATAGTCATTTTTCAATTCGGCCATCAAAACTTTATATTAAGTCCCCTTCTATAACTACTAAGGCCTCATTCATTTCACCGATTCGAGTTTTCAGTTCTAGATTTCTACAGTAGAAAGCTCTCAGAAAATGTCACATCTAACTTTTTTTACTACAGTGAAAAGTTCTCACAAAATGCCTCATCTCAGCTCGAATTGAAAACTCGAATCCGCGAAGTGAACGAGGCCCAAATTGTTTCAATTTAGTCATTTGTCAATTCGGCCATCAAAACCTCAACTAAAAAAGAAACATATTAATTCGACCGTCGAAACCTCAACTAAAAAAGAAGCATGTTACTGTTAGGCAATAATATGAATAATACAAAGAAGAACAATATAAATAAAGTTGTTGCAAGAACAATATATTAAGAATTGTTACAACACAAATTCAATTTTTCTACCAAATTTAGAAAAATGAATTGGCAAGGATGTCGAGGCACATGAATCACGCTTTCCTTAAAACAGATTCGTCCCCTCTGACGAGTGCTTAAGGTTACGTTAGACGTCCGTTTCTCAGGATACAATGACAACGACAGTAGCACGAAGCACTATCGGAACCGTCTCAGCGAACTAGTACTGCACCTTTCCTCTATCACCAAAAACGACCACAAAAAGAACTCAAGGAAAAAAAAAGAAAGAAAAATGAGAGAGAAGAGATATGTGCTGTAACTTGTTGTGTGCTCTCCTTCATGTGTTACACGCCTTATATAGGCTCTTGAGAAAGGGGTTATGAGACAAGGAATTGTAGGACTTAATCACATAATTATGGTCCAAACTTTATGGTGTAAAACCGTGCTCCTTCTTCTAAGATGAATCCGGCCACAAACCATAGCTAGGTTCAGATTTTAAGAAAAAAAACTAAAGCCATAACTAACCATTAAGCTGGCCATTATCTCACAAATAAGCCTGGCCAATAAACTAGCCATTAAGCCCCTTTAATCACTTTATACAAGTCAATTTCGGTTTTGGCCGAAATGTGAAAGGTATAGGGACCTTTCTTTGGTAAAAAATAAAATAAAATAAAAATTACAAAACAAAGCCCGCACGGAGTGGCATTCGTATCTGCAGGTCGTGAACGCACACATTAGGCCCCTAATTCTCCAGGGTCATGATATGCACCCCTGCATGTGAGAGAGTTTCTCAAGTATACATGCTTATTTAGACTCCAAAGTGCAATCACTTATACACACCACCAAGGCTTCATTCCTAGCCAATGTGAGATATTTGTAATTTCAAACCTATTTAACCATTCCAAGTGGCTTGCTTAGAGCGTCAATTTTTCATTAACCCAATATCCATTTTGAGTGTGTGAATATCCAATTTCGATCTACTCGTGATGGAGAATATAATTCTATTGAGACCCATCCTAATATTCAATTGGGCGCCGTTCCAATATGGGCAACAAAATGGACCTTTAACATGGCTTATTAAGCCATTTTTCCAACAGTTACTTCTTAACAGTAAAGCCGAATAGGAATATTTGACCTATAATTATAATTTAAGGAAATCATACACCGAAATAGGAAAATTTGATCATAATTTAGGGACTAAGAATATTAGTTTTTTACGAGATGTGATTTTGATCTATGAATGTTTACTGCGACCATTGCAAATCACAAAATATATAACACCCTATCAAATATATCACTATCTTCTTCGTAGTAGAGAATTCGGAATAAATAAATGCAAACTGATTATAGGTTCTCTCTAATCCAAAGTCTACGTATGGTTGTGTCTCTTCCAACACTAATAAAATGTGAATGAGATCTTGAACCAAATGGGCCGAAATCAAAAGGCCGCTCTACAAAAAGAATGTCGAAAGCAGGGATATTTGCACATAAGTCGATCCAATGACCTATAATAACCATTCTACCCTTGTAAACCCTTTCTTAAAAATAGGTCACCATTTACGTTTTTTACACAAAAATATGTATCTGAATGACGATATAATAACCATTTTGGAATGTATAGCACATTTCAAACGATAAAACCTAATTTTGTATGATAAATAAAAACCAATTAAAACCTTTGTTAAATGGTCATTAATCATATTTGAGACTTTCTATTGTTTTACAGAAAAAATGTGAAAGTTCCGTTGTGTATACAACCCGTTATTGCAAAGGCAATCATTTTTTTTTATAAAAAAAAAAACAGCTTTATAAATGCAATTAGTTATTGCAAAATGATAACTGCCCACGAAAGGGTACGTATAACCGGAACAATATATTCTTAATATTGCCTGAATGGACACATTTGTAATATTGTTAAGTGATGGACATCTCCTAAAATGGGTGTCTAAAAAGTGTTATTACGTGTACATACTTCTTAAAGTTAGGGAAAGAATGTTTACTATATGGTCATGTTTCAAATTTTACAGGAATATTATATATAGAAACCGAGAGTATATACTATATATCTAAATCATTGTCCGTTGATCATCATGCACATCACATGACAAGGCTTCATATCATGTCAGCCTAGTGATCCCATGATACTCTCAATGGATGACACGTGTCACATGATCAAGTCATCAATTGAAGGTGCATGCTAAAGAATATATTTATTTATAACAGGACGTACGGAATAGGGGCATGGGTCCGCATGCTGGGATATTTGGGTTAGTTGGTTTCTGAACTTTACGAAATGTGATTCTTGAAATGCATGCCAATGCTTTGCTTTATATATGTGGGGAAAAAAAAAAAAAAAAAAAAAGAAGAAGAAGAAGAAACCTTGAATTTGGTAGTTGTTTCCACCCTTTCTTCTGGGAATCTTTGTATCAAATGCGAGCCGATCATGCATGGTCCAATCAATATATTCTTGTAGAACTTTTGTCAAGGAAAAGAGAGAGAGAAAGAAAAGAAAAGAAAAGAAAGTTACGGGAAGGTAAAACTGAGAAAGAAAATCTTTTCAGAATCGCTTGCCAAAAGCGTGCAACACCTTTGTTCATCTAAATAGGACATCTTTAATAGCGGTTTTTTTTTTAAAAAAAAAATCAAACCCTGAGATCTTGTGTGTTTGAATGAAGATAATGTCGTTGAATCATAAAGCCAAACTTGTTCCTCAATTAAAATGATTATTTGATCGATAAAGTAATATGGAGATATGCATGCATGACCGTACATGTGTGTAGAAACATTATATATATATATACATATTATGTGCGTCTGTATGTATATTTTTGGTGCGTGTTATGAGTGCTAAAATGAAGTTGCTAATATTTTTTGAACATATATATAATACGGGGGAAGAAAAAGATGGTTATTTTCCGGCAAAATTAGTTCCTAAACCTGTACTATTTTTTAACGACCAAATTGTAAGGTTCTGCTATGTAATTTCATGAATGAGCCATCTTTCTATATTTTAATTTTATATTGAAAACTACCTCCTTAATAATTTCAAGAAAATTTTGTCGAACTTAAAGTGCAAAAAGACAATTATTTAACGCTTGTTCAGGAGGTTTATTTAGATGATTCATTTAAATAATACGGGTAAAAAGTAATGATCTTTTCAACCTTAAGTTCGATCAAATATTTATGGAAAGAGAGATTTTTAATATGAAATTAAATATATTAGAAATGATCGTATTATTCTTGAAAATTTAAGGTAAAAAGTGTCATTTTGATAAAAACATACAATAGGTTTGAGATATTGTACCTAATTTTTCTTACCAAAAAAAAAACCTCGCTCTTTCCAACTGATAACCCAACAAACGAAATTGTAAAAAACGACTTTTAGAGTTTCAAATTAACTTATATAATATATGAGCTTTAACTTAGCGCCATGCCAAAAAAAGAAAAAAAAGCTAACTAAAGTTCTCTAAAGTAAACTAAACGGTTATTTACTGATAGCACCATTTAAAAAATTTAAGGTCTCGATCGTTTCACTATTGGAATCACAGTCTAAACTTTTTTGCTACCGTGGTTTTCCTCACAAAAATTCAAATTTAACTTTTTCTGTTATAATATTTTCTTTAACGTAAATCATTTTTTAATTAAAGTTCTCAATTCGAACAAATGAAACTAGCAAGAATTAAATTTAATTCACAAAGATATATATATATATATATATATATATATAGTATAGGTCATAACTAGGTTAATTAATGAGTCAAACTCAGCAGCCTAAATTCTCTTTAGGACAACTAGCCAAACCCACTACCAAGTGGCAAACTTAAGTAAGAAGCATTTTTGAATATTACTTTATCTTCTTATAATTAAACTTGCATTTCCAGATTATTAAAAGCATGTATACTTCTTCATGTGTGAAAAGTTATTGTTCTATGCATAACGTAAGCAAAGTTAATTTACAAAAGGAAAAGAAGTTTCTTTGTTATAAAGTAATGTTGCATTGGGAAATACAAACAGAATATTTAATCAATTAGTGCTTCCTTTATAAGGACCTTAATATACTTTTGTATATAAGCACGTTTGAGACAATTATACTAAATTGTTCGAAAGATTATGACTTATTTTATAGGCACTTAGTTATAAAAGAAAGATAATGGAAAGTTGATCTTAATTATCCGCTGAGCTGATGATCGATATAAGATCATTTGAAATGATTAGTACACCTCTAAAACTGCATGTACAAGAACAGCATTGTAGTAGCAGCTAATTGATGAAAAAGAAAGAAAGGACAATAGACAAATCAATTAAAGCTTTAAATGAGAGGTAGTTTTTTTTTTTAAAGGACTTCCAAATCCCAACTAATTACTTAATTAGCAATTAACAGCACAAATAGGTTGAAGATTGTATAGCATCATGAGCAATCAGCCTTATATTTTTTTGAGCAGAGTGACTGCTCATGATGTTATATCGTTCCCAATGAAACGCTCTCTGTGCTGCATATGCTATCATACCAACTTCCCGTCGACGTTCATTTACCGGAAACCGCCCCCAAGAGCCGGAGCCCAATAATCCGCTCCGTTGTCGCTCCCAACTTGCAGTGTGCATGAGACGGGCACCAAACACAGACCCCTACTCCTCAGGTCCTTCTTTTGCTCCTCAAGTGAGTCCTAATTAATTTTTTAACCAAAAACCACACAAAAAAAGCATATAATATGAGTTTCCATTTCCATATTTTAGTAGTACTAATTAGTATTATAGAAAATTTCGAAAGAATTATCATTTATATTAATCAAGGACAAACCTGATGATCAGGAGCTCCTTTTCTCTTCATGCAGTTATCATTCAGCAGCTATATTTAAAACATTAACATTATAAAGACACAATTAGTATGCTAATTTAACCTTTTTTTTTTGTAAAGTACTTAATTTCTTTTGTTAAATTAGATACTGTTCCTTTAGATTAGAATCTTTAAAGCTGCAAATAGCATTTACCCTTTAAACGGTTTCCTTATTTGTTTAATTAAAAAGAATGAAGTAAAACTAGCTTTGTTAGTTGTTTTTTAAGATGACAGATTTCTAGTTCCCCCCAAAACCTCTTTATAAGGCCAGCAATGGATCCAATAAAAAGCATACCTGACCAGGGTCTTCAGGGAACATGCAATTCCTCTCCCCATGAACCTAACCAAAAAAAAAAAAAAAAAAAATTTGCAATCATTAATTAATTAATGCACAATAATTAACCATAATATATTAGTACTTCTTGATCAACACATGAGAGAGAGGGAGGGAGATTCTTGCTTTGGGAAAAGAGAATTAGGGTTTTGTTTAGTTTTCTTACAGACTGTTGTTGTCGCATGTTTCCAGATCCATTGCCCAAGTAAGGTAAGCTGAGAGCCTGCACGGGTATACAAAGGAAAACATTATAAATTTGGGGGAGTTCTGGTGTGATAGAGAATATTGTCATTTGTAGATCATATTATAATTGAATCAAATCAATATATTTATAGTCCGTTTAGATTATAGATTTGAACACAAATTTAAAATTTTTTTGAGTAAAAACACGATAATAAAAAAGTTTAAACCACATTTCAAATTTATGAAATAAATGGCTTTTAGAGCTACAATAAGTTAGAAGAATGTTAGCAGTGTTGTGCCATCACTCATTCATAGTTGTTAGCAAAAGAAAGAAAAAATAAATAAAGGAATAAGAAACATCACCTCAATTTGACTCTGAAGGAATCTGATGTACCCAATAGCTTCTAACAAGACAGAGGCTGTGTCAGTCTGCAAAAAGAGAGGAGGGGAGGAAAAGAAAAAAAAAATGAATTAGGAAAATAAATAAATAAATAAATAAAAAACAAAAACAGACACAAAACTCCAAAGTCATATTTGGATGTGTTCTAATTCTTTAAAGCCTAAAGGGAAAACGGAAAACCCTTCCAATGGAATAAGAGTAACAAAAAGATAAAAACAATTAATTAAGGGAAGAAAGGTAAGACATTGGTCAGGAATCTTTCATGTGAAAAGAAGTTCTTTTCTGGGGTTCTCATACATTATTATTTTAGAAAATTCTCTCAACATTGTGTTGGAGCTTACTAGTTCCATTCCTTTTAGCTTCCAAAATCTATTATTAAAGATCAAAAGATTATTCTTTTTCCAAATTGTTACCTTTCCAAATGGGGAAACTAGCTGGTGGAGAGCAGTAATTCTGTCACCTAACTTCTCCTTCCTCACCTATATATATACACACATATATATACAATAATAAGTTGGGTAAAGATCAGATCAAAATGAAGATATAAAATAAGTGGTGAATCGGGGGTTTCATAATATCATGTGGATAAAATGAGAGAGAGAGAGAAAGAGATATATCGTGTAAAAGAAAGAATCATTACGGCTAAAAACTGGACAAACAAAGAAAGACAACGTTTTCCCACAACACATGTCCCCGTTTATGTGTGGTTGTCTATGAATGCGCGTGGGCGAGTGAGACACAAAAGAAAGGGTTTTTTTTTTTTTTTGGTAAAAAAGAAGAAGATCATAGAATGGAGGTTTTAGAATACATTTATTGATCAGTAGAAGAAATACAATTTTGATTTTCATTACCTTGAAAGTAGTTTGGGTTGAAGAAGGTTGAACCCTAGCTTTCTTGAGCGCCCCACCAGTTGCAGTGCTGTTACACTTCAGACAAAGAAAGAGAAAAACATATGGAATATATAAGAATATATAATCATGGTTAAAAGTACTATATATGTAGTTTGCTAATTTTGGCTCTACTTCTTCATCTCTTACATAGAGAAGATCAAAGTAATATATCAACGATTTTCAAATGTATACCAGAGAATGATCGGTAATTAATTAGGTCACATTTGTTTTATGCGTTGAAATCTATAATTTTGATTTTACTACAGTATTTTTCTCTTATAAAAAATTTGAATTTCAAATGTCAAAATTAAGAATAATTAGTTTGAACGCATGAACCAAACATGCCCTTGATTAGCTCATAATTCTACTTTAATTTAGTTCAATTAATCCCACACAAACAGCTAGCTAAAACGTATTAAAAAAAAAAAAAAAAGAAAGAAAGAAAAGTATAGCACTGCTAAGGAATTAAGTTTTCGCCTTAAAAAACGCCTTGAATCCAAGTTTGTTGACTTCATACATCATAAACCGATCATATGCATGAACTCGAACACCTAGCTTTAATTTCTCGCAAAACTTAATATACAAAGTTTTACTGAAGTTATACTTCTAGAAGAGAAGAACAATTAATTACCTCAGAGGATCGATCCGGCACCGACACCGACACCGACACCGGATGCCTGGCATGATGATGATCAGGCTTGGTGGAGAAATCCAACATGTTGCTACTGAAACTTGTGACGCATGATTTAGGAGATGATTGAGTAGTACTGGCCATTACTTGATGGTGGTGATGAGACCAATTAGGTTTTGCCACATGATGAGCAGTCTGAAACTGATGATCTTGATCATGGCCATAAACATAGCTGCTGGCCGAGCTGTGTTCTTGCTTCACTGCATCAACAACAGAAGCATTCGGAGCTTGACTACTCAACATCTGTTCTTCCCAATTCTCCAGTTTCTTCACTTGAAAATGGTTCATTATATTCCTCTTCTCTTCTTCACCTACCAATCCACCCCTAATAACAACAACAACAACAACAACAACAAAATTACTCTAACTAAATTAAAACTTTGATCCAACTTTTGTACGCATATTGGCGCTTAATATTGAACTTGAAATTTTTTGATAGCCCACCACAGAACTTAAAGAAAGCTCAAGATTTCTTTTTTCTAATAAGTAGAGAAGGAATAACTAATATCATAGTTGATTAATACATGATCCCAACTGGGTTGACACGCATATACCAAACTCGTCAGCCTCAAGATTTGTAATAGCTAGCCCAAAATTCTAAAACACGATCACACAATGCATATATAACCTATATAAATAACACGTATAAAAACATGTCACATGCAACCATATTAGAGAGAGAGAGAGAGAGAGAGAGAGAGGGATCAAGGAGAGAGAGAGAGAGAGAGAGAGAGGGTTACAAGAGGAGTTGGCTCCAAGACTCAGGAAGCTGCTCTTGGTTGTCATTCCAAGAAGGAATATTGTTATTATTAGAAGAAGAATTAGAAGTGGGAAGAAATTGTGGGTAGAGATTTGGTGGAGGCAAGAAAGGAGAAGAATTAGGTGGTTGATGAGTAGAAGGAGGTCTCATGGTGTTGATGTTCCACCAGTTAGGGTTTCCGGCCGCCATCATTTGTTGCATTGGCGAGCTCTGCAAAACACCTCTATTCATGCCTTTAATTTTCTTTACTGCTACAACCCAGAATAATTATGAATTATTATGATATTATACAGTACTTCTTCTTCTTCTTCTTCTTTCTCTTCCACTTTCCCTTTTCCTTTTTATTTCTCTTTTCTTTTCTTTTTCTTTTCTTTTGGCTTTGCTGCAGTTGCTAACAAAACAACTCTTTGTAGAAACTTTGGAGGTCCTCACACACTGGATTAAGTAGAATGAGAAAAGGGAAAGAAAGCTAGCAGTTAGGTTACTACTGTTTTCTAGAGAGAGAAAGAAAGAGAATTTTGAAATATAATCATGGAGTTTGAGAACCTTTGTCTTTGTTCTCTCTCTTCTCTCCTTTCTTTATTGGTTTTGCTTTCCTTTTTTTCCATCTTTTTCTTCTCTCCCCCTTTTCTTTTATGTTTTTTCTTTTCTTCCTTTGCTTTCTTTTTTTTTTTTTTACTCTGCTTTTGCTTTATCTCAAAGTGGGACAGAAAAGGTGGTAGCAGTTCCAATTAATTAAGAAATTACAAAAATATTGTATTTGGGTCTTGCTAGAGTCACAGCTGAGTGTACACTTACTGCTTCTTTTCAAGGAATGTGTCTCGTTGGTGATGATGACGTTAAGCAATCTCTCTCTACTAGAAGGGGAATAATTTGCTATCAAAATCAAAAATACCTGATTTAATTGCCGGATTAGCCATGTATTAACATGTGTGTGGATGATGAAAGATATTCATGTTTCTACTTTTGTGTGGGCTAAGCTAATTGTATTTAGTATGTAATATTTCCATTAATTACCTTGGGAAATCTTGATCATCATCATGCATCATCAACATTGTCTTTCTTTTAAAGGAAGTCGTAGGAAATTAATTAGATCTGGTAAAAATTATTATGTACAAGCAAAAAAATCCTTTAGGAAGAGATGATAAATAAATATTGTATTTTGTATGAATTTTATGCGAAAATATTGATAATTAGCTACAATCCTCTTCCAATTATATGTATTTTGTATGGAGAGCTGGAATTAGGAGTGGTTGGTTTTGATTTTGGAAAATGCCCAGTTACAATAATTCAATTGGTTTTGTCAGCGACCATTTGTACATATCGTATTGGCAGTGTATACACGTTGTATAAATACAGGAAATGCGTGATCAGTAACTAATAATCGTATATCAAGTTAATTAAGAAGGATTTTCTGATCATATAATAACTTGATAAATTATTGTAAAATAAATGAGCGAAGAAGTTTTTAACTATATGGTACATAATTATATTTGTATGAGTTATATGTACACAAAAACGGTTTGAAAATGGTGGAATTTTTTTCTGTGCTCTAAATAGATATATGACCAGTTTGTTATATATATGAACTTCCAAGATTTCTTTAACTATTCCATATTTTGTAGTTTAAATATTAATTTCCATTAGTTGATGATGGGGATTCTATAGACCTTAAAAAAATACCTTAATGAATCATTAGCTTAATCCATCGCTTTCATAGGCCACTAATCTATTAATATAAATGCAAATCCAAGCAGACACTATAAAAGGATGAATTAATAAGACTAATTAATTAGAACAAATTTAGATGAAACGCAATTTACAGCGACTAAAAAATCTATTAATTCGCTGCATATATATGCTTTTAATTGGCTTTACAAAAATGATATTATACTTGTAGGATAACGTTAAACTTTAGCTTGATGATGGTGAAAAACTGCAGCGAATAAAATAGCAATTTACTTTTACAAAGCTCATAAAATTTTGACACCTGTCATCAAATTATATTTCCACATTTTCTTTTTCAATATATGAATCATTATTGTCACTCCTGTCTTTGAGTCCTTATCATAAGTGCAGTGATCAAGTACTGATGACTAGGAAACTCGTATTTCTCTTTTATCATTTCTTTAGATTAGGAAAACTTTTCTTGCAATAGTATATTATATATACACAGTAAATTGTATTTTACTTGCGTTAATGAGCTAGTTATTCACCCTTAATTATACAACCGTGCACATAAGAATTTCTAATTAAATACCCTTTATTAAGAATCCCTAATTTTATATCACCGAAAGCGATGTATTTATGTGTAACATTGCGTCAATGATCACGCACTAACTAGACACCTTGTAACAAAGTTTTCCTTAATCAGAATATATAGTGTTGGAGAGTATTTTAGAAAAGAAAAATAGTAATAATGCAAAATTAAAACTATATCTGAAAGTACTGCAAAATATTATAATATAGTATTAATTCAGCTAAAGATAAATTGATAATGACAACAAACTGCATATATAGTCCTGATTAGGTTGATTAAAATTTTTTTCCACTTTGAGATTGTTTAGGATAATTGGTTAAGGCAGTACATACATCAAAGTACCTCGTCCACATGTTCTATACATATATATATATATATAAGTGGCCATATCTGCTTGTAATTAAGTTTTGATGTAACTAGTAACTACCAAGTATGTATCTAACCAAAACCAGCTATATTAATTTTTTTTAATTGGTTGTTAATTAGTTAAAAAAATGTGGTAAATATGAGGCCTGGCTAACCCGTGATATTACAGGCTAATTAACGTAAAACAGATAGAGATGACCGGCATATTGCACTTTTCGAGAGGTCAAAATCTAGGGTTTGGAGATCTCTAATCTCAAGTCTATAAGAGAATGATTACAACTTCCAAGAATTTTAGTTTATCATTATTTTAATTACCTGATATACCAACTTGTGGTTTGGGGCATCCCTGATCTTTTATTTAATTTTAAGTAAATTCAATTTAATATTTTTTGGTTCGAAACTCCCTCTTATTATAAATTAGCACTATAAATACAAAAGTAGAATGGGACAAAAAAGAGAGAGTAATTAAAGTAGAGATTTTATAGTAATACCTCTAGGTTCACCTACCGGCTGCGTACGAGTAAAACTTATGAAATACTATATATTATTTGTTCCCTTTCTCAGCCAAAAAAAAAAATTTATTTGTTCCCTTCTATATACTAAGCAGAGAGAGAGAGAGAGAGAGAGAGAGAGAGAGAGAGAGAGAGAGAGAGAGAGAGAGAGAGAGAGAGAGAAGGAGAAGGATTAAAGGGGTAAAAGCTGTTAATGTTGGGGTTTTTTTTCTTTTTTAATACGTGCCTTTGATGATTAACTAAAGAGAATTTAAAAAAGAAGTAAAATGAAATAATTATGAGAGTAATTAGTTGAAAGATAAAGTTATATTAATTTCTTATGTTCAATGATTAATCTAATAAAATAATGATTTAATTGAAATTACGCTCAAGATTTGCTAAAGATTTAATTCACTTCCGGCATCTGTAAGAAAAAGGAAAATCTTACTTAGGGCACGTTCGGTTCGTTAATTTGAGTTTTTAATTCGACTTGAGATGTGATATTGTGTGAGAGCTTTTTACTGTAGCAAAAAAGTTAGATGTGACTGTTTCTGAGAGATTTTTACTGTAGCAAAACTCAAATTCTAAACTCGAATGAGCAAAATGAACGGGGCCTTAGTATATTTTATATTACTATCTCGATAAATTATCAAATAAAGATCTAAAAAGGAGGAAAAAAACCTATAGTATTATCATAAGAAAACGAACTTTGAAGTTACAACTAGTTGAAGAATATTTATTGATAAAAATTGGATTATTCTTACACGTGTTCTTTGAATTTTAGGGTCATTTTCAGTTTACCTCTCAAACTTTATAAACTTTTATTTTGTCCATCGAATTCTAAATTAATTTTTTTAACTCCCTCTTAAATTTTTTTATTAAAAATGCATGAAAAAAAAAAAGAGAAAGTGTAATCACATGGTCTTTCTTTTATAATTTATGTTGAAAAAAAAAAGGATAACATGACCACACTAACCCCTTTATTTCTGCCTGTTTTTAATAGAGACTATAATAAAAAAAGGTTAAGTGTGACTAGGATTAATTAATAATTTAAAGGGCAAAATAAGAGGTCTTGAGTTTATGGGATAAATTAGAAATTATGATAAAATTTAGAGACCACGGGCTGCTTTATGATTAGAGCTTGGATTGGATCCCAATATATATATATATATTAATTATGTATGCATATATCTATCGACTTTGGCATCTGAAAATACTTTGTTCAAATACATACATACATATATATCAAACAAATTAATTGCTCAACTAAGAAAATATTATTAATTTGACTGTGGTGATGATCTTCTAATTAAGTTAAAGTCCATTATAATACCATAGCCACGGAGCAATCTAACTGTAATTAACAGACAATCAACCATACATTATTGTTACAAATTGAGATATTAGTAGAAGGACTAGGGTTGCCACATCGCCATAAAAAGTACTAATCAAGGTTAAACTAATTTTTGGTTCTTGGATTGCAAGTTAAATTTCATTTTAGTCCCTGATCACTTATAAACCGTCCGAGCATTAATCCCCAATTTACCAAGTTATTCCAAATTAGTCTTTCTATTCATCAAACTATTACAATCATGAAAAAAAAAAAAAAAAAAAAAAAAAAAAAAAAAAAAAAAAAAAACACAGCTTCATTCTTAACAAACAAGGACTCATTCTAGCATGTTTCGAAAATCATAGACCGAAATGAAAGTTAGCTTATCGTTGGTACTAAAATTGAATCAATGCAAATTAAGTACTACCTCCAAGGCCAACTCAAAAACATGTCCTACTACTCAAGCTTGGAATTTCCATGAACATTCCAAGTAACATATGCATAGAAAAAAACAATAACACAAAGTTAAAAAAACATTAAAATTATTCCCCCAGATACATAGTAAATGCTTTTATATTCCCGTACGACATACATTCCCTTAAACCGCATTTCAATGCAGCAAACAAACAAGCATAAAAAGCCTTAAATCTCGAGCTAGCTAATATGGCCTCATGACCCTTACCAAACAATGTAACCTTATTATTATTATTATTTTCTCTGGACACACTAACGAGGGATATATTGAATGGCATGTCTGGTCCGTACAGCCAAAATCTTTGTCGGGGCCGCTATGTCTTCTCTAGCACACCCTACTTTTTAAATTTAATTTAACTCCCTCTCTCTCTCTCTCCCT